CTCTACTCTATTCTACTCTATGCAGTAGCTGTTTCAAAGAGTTAGTTATAACGCTTACTTTCATTCTTGATTTTCGCGCCATTATTCAGAAAAATCACAAACAGTAGGAAATGTTTCTTCACAGCACTGATAATTTTCCAGTTGCATAAAAAATAGTTTTATCGTTATGTACCTTACAGTATGAACAATATTCAAAGGTACTCGATAAGATTGTTTCAGCTTGGGGAATTTGAGGAATATGAAAAATGTCTAGGGCTAGGATAACGAATGAATAACTTCGAAGTAGAGGTCACCCACTTACTGAAACTATCGTCGATAAGGACGAATTATGCATATATTTTTCTCATGAACAAGAAATATTATACCTTGCCCATACTGTTTTCATTTAGAACGACAGCAAGATAAAAGGAACTCGGATTGTTTCACTTTTTCCAATTACATTTCAGAAAGCGTCGAAATCATTTCGCAGAATAGTCATTCATATCAATTGTATCTTGGAAAATATAATCTGAATTTAACATTTCGTCATGATTCTTCATGGGTTAAATAACCAGGGAAGCAATCGAACTCGTCGAAATGATACGGGAAATAAAATGTTTCGTTGTTTATTCATGACCTACAGTGTTTTAGCAGTTTTTTCATTGAACTATAAATTTTCAAACCCTTTAGGACTATTCAGATATCCAAAACCCCCTGAATGGTTGGCACACATATAACGCAGCATATTGATGTTAATTACCTACATATATTGGCAACAGTGGAAAACTAATAGTGGTACATTTGCCTCGTCAATTCATAAATCTATCAAAATTAACTGTAGGATAGAAATGGCTCGTTTGTTTCATTATTTATATGCAATTAACTTATTTTAGACTAGAGCAGATGATGATGATAATTTCGCTGGAACTTTTGAACCATAAATATCAATGTCAAACCATTTGGTTCACTAATTGCAATAAATTGAACTATGTAGTTGAATTCTCATTCTCTAAACAGTATATTCAACCGCAAGTATGTATACTGACGAATATGCTCCAATACTATTCTATCATTCAGATTCATTTTCTTGTCACTTCAAGCTTGTAGGTATGTATCTAAAGAATTTGGCTCTCATCATATGGCTTACAGCCTCCCTTTGTGAAAGCCCTTCGAGTTTTCCGGAGTTTTCTTTCTTCATAGTCATACATTTCGGCATCCAAATTTGGAATTTTCTTCATGGAAGGAATTATTTCCAGAAATTCATAACCTCCATGAGTTCAAGAAAAAAATAAATGCCTCCCTAAAAAAGATAAAAAAGATATGCATCTTTTCCCCACTCTTATACAATTTGTTTGTCTGGATGAGCATGAAAACATTAGCATTTATATAGTGCTGACTGCGGCTTCTTTACCAGGAAGGATAGATACAGTGATACTAAACTTATAAGTCGTCAAATGGCGATTGTAGATCTATTTGTTGAACACGTTATAGTTGAAGATCATAGAATGAATTATGATAATGCTAATACACAGTAAAAATAAAAACATCGAAATGAGGAAACAAAATATCGACCAAAGAAATCCCACACTCCTATATTCATAAAAAAATATTTCATCGAACTGAGAAATAATTCATCTCAATTCAAAACTCAACTATTTCCCTCGCTATTTTTTGAAAGGATACAATATTACCTTCGTTCGATGCTGCTTCAAATTCTCCCAAAAGAAATCGAGAATGTGTTAAAGAGAGATGTTGAAAGATATTCAGTGAAACCAATTATAGTATTCGAAATGAATCCAATCTCTGCTTTAGAAAATTCATAACTTCAAGAAAATATTCCCACATGTTTGGAAACATCAAACGAGTACTTTGAACAAGAATATAATGAAAGTTCATGGAATTCAGAGTATCGCTTATTTCAAGATTAGCGATGCTCTTGTTCTGAAATTTGCCTATATTTCTGTATATAAGAATGTGATTTACTTCAATTGAGAAATCACACAGCCTATATTAGAAACTTCGAAAACTTTTGATAGAATTAATCAGTAGATGTCGAATAACTCTACTTCTGATGATAAGGCAAATCAGTGTTGAGTTGAAAAAGTGAAATAATTACTCAACTCAACAAGAAAATATTCCCTTCTGATATCACTGTTGAATCAGAAAAAGAATATGATTTCTCATCTAGAGCGATATACACCCTCTTCAAGCTTTTCGAGTGTCTTGTTAGGAACGAGTTGAGATCTTGCAAGCATCGCATTGAAACAAGATAATTAATTTTACTCAGATCAAGTTGTTTATATTATCAGTAGAAAATATTTCAATCCTCACTTTGAAGTGGTTGCAAGTTTCGAAATGAAAATCACCGATTTCGATTCAAAGTCTTTCGATTTCAAACAAGTTATTGGAGTGTTCTGTTGAGGTTAATGATAGAGAAAATATATTTCTCGATGTAAGAGATTGGGATTTTTATTTTTTATGCTCTCTTTTTGGATGTTCAACAGACATAATTCAATGTTCGACGTGGCAAATAGCCAGGAAAGTCAGTCGCATTCAAAAAAAACGTACAAGTATATTACAGAGAGAAATTAACGTCATCCTATTCTGCAAAAAACAGGCTATCGGGAATAATTGTTCACCAAATGTTGACAGTAAAGTTGTCAGTGCTGAGCCAGTTTTACACAACTAGAACTAGGATCCCGAAATCCTCTCTTTTCAATATTTGTACGCTTTTTTCTTGAATACGACTGAAGTTGTTTTCTGTTGCATATTCAGAATGATAATTTATGTGCATATACATATTTTGATGCATTCGTGGCATAACGAAATTATTTTGAACTAGTAGCCTAATGCCCAATTTTGTGTTTGAAATAATGACATTTGATCGATTACGTTGCGGTCTTATTTTAACAAGTGAGGTACGTAGTTTTTGAAAGGTATCAGATAAGGATAGATGTAGTTTTCATTAGGTATTAGATTAGTATAGAGGTCAGATAATTTATACGACGCTATAAAAGCAGATGATATTTTATCATTGCTCATGTAAGATGGAAGTAGAGGCCATGGTACCATATCACGAGCCATATCATGAGCATATTTTTATATTGAAACTATCATTGGGCACCAAAGATGTGTATACGACGCTATTAATGTTCAGAGAACTGGAGATTTTTCCTACAAACTACGTACTTAGCCCACTCGACAGTCTTGGTTTTTCCACACAAACTACGTACCTTGCCCACTCGACTGCCAATAGGGACTGAAATAACAAAAACAGAAGAAAGTTAAAACAATGCCAACATATTTTGGCGAAAAATAAAGACAGTCGAGTGAGTTAGTTAGGTACGTAGTTTATGAGAAAAAAATCAAGACAGTCGAGTCTCGAGTCGAGTGTGCTTTCTTTAGTTTCTTTTGTTTTTTGTTTTGTTTTCTATTGGCAAGTGATTATCTAGGAACTTGTAAATGTTCTAGTTTTTTCATTGTATCTCCCGAACTATTGAATTCAGAGAAAAATGTTTTTTTGTAGATCCTATCAAAAGGAATAATTTTGGTTCTATAACATTTTCAGATATTTCCAGTTGTTTTCGAGATATTTCGAATTATCTGAGAATAAAATTTTCAACACTTTTGTTCCACCTTTCAATCAACAAAAGGAAAAAATATTTCATGGTTCAGTGGAAGTCGATGAGCTCCATCTATCGATAATCTTTGTTTTTCAATATATCTTCATGGTACCCTATGGGTCGTTCAATTTTTTTTTCATATTTTTTACCTCATTTCCTGTACTATTGGGTTTACAGAAAAAATTATGGGTAATAATTTGTAGAAAATGTTTCAGTGGATAACTTTGCACTTCTGATAATTTTCGATTTTTCCGAGGATTTTTCCATTTGTTTTCGATATATTATATTGAATTAAAAGGATTTCAAATTTTGATGTTTTGATTTTCATTTGTTTTTCCATTTTCCGATGGATGCACGAAAAAATGGTAGAATAATAATTTGTTGCGTCATCAAAGAGGCATACGGTGCATTTTTCAAATTTGGATTTAGTCTATTGGTTCAGGAGATATGTCGTTTTAAAGCGAATCGTGTGTTTCGGAAAATCTCCTTGAAAAACCCACTTGGAATTTTCCGACCCTGCTCAATTTCAATAGGCTTCGTCTCTCCCTGATAGAGTTTTTTTTTCACAAAAAATGAAATCGATCGGACCACTTTAGCGATTTGTAGAGTGGTCACAAGAAACTTCCGGTGAAAAATCGAAAAAACCAGGAAAAACCACCTTAGAGTTTTCCGATTCGCTTCATATTTTAATGACATGATATTGTTTTGAGTACAATAAGATGGCGAAATTTCAAGTCGATATGTCAAGGGGTTCCGGATATATATCGATTTATGATTACCACAGAGTACAGACAGACAGACAGACAGACAGACAGACAGACAGACAGACAGATAGACAGACAGACAGACAGACAGACAGACAGACAGACAGACAGACAGACAGACAGACAGACAGACAGACAGACAGACAGACAGACAGACAGACAGACAGACAGACAGACAGACCTCACACAAAAACCAAAGTTGCTCAAAATTCGATGGGGATCATTTTCTCCAAAGTAACTATACCTCTATCTCGCTCAGTTTCCGAGATAGCATTTTTGGCAAGGCCGTAGTATACTTCACTATATGGTATAGCGTCGTATAACAAGTATTCAAAAACGTGACAGTTTTCTACATTGTGAAAGTTTCTTCAATCGATAAAGGAAAAATAAAATGTTACACCCTATAGTTCGGAAGTTAAGAAGTTTAGGGAATATGTTCATATGAACTTTTCTTCTTTAAATGAACTAAGGAACCATATCCTATATTTTCAGTCATCAATTAAATTACACCCTGAATATAAATATAAATTTTATTTTCTAGATTATAATTGACACTTTGTGAAATACCAGTGATCATTCCGAAATACAATCGACGCTTTCTGAAATAAAATATGAAAAGGTGTATACATAGAATTCACATCATCTCTGCAGTCTCTCTCAGATAAGACGACATCCTCCTAGGTGGCGGTGGAGGAGGAGGCTTCTCAGCTTCGATCCTGTCTGCAAGGCAGTAAATGTCGTCCTCCTCTGCAGGCTCGTGCATCAGCTGGTTCACGTAGTACTCGTAGGTCACATTTCCCGTGTGCGGATCCACTGCCAGCTCCAGCATCTCTTGGAGCTCTTCGTCATTGAAAACCTCTCCGTACTGCGTCATCAACACTGGAATATACAGGGTGTCTGTGAAAGGTTGGGACATGGCTCGGCTGTGGACTCCTGGGATAAAAACAAGTTGATTCAGGTCTACTCACCTATATCCGAAATCGTCTCGTTGAGTTGGTACAAGGCGTTGAAGTTTTTTTGGAGAAAAATAATTTTGCTCATGAAAAGAGTAGGCTGAGATCGATTTTCATAATTTTTGGCATGACATGTTCTGTGACTGTAAGTCACGTTTCGAGATGTTTTTGATCATCATCAGTGACCTGCAAGTGTTTCAAACAACCATGTTGCCGTACAAATTTGATGATAACTTTTCAGAAGTCAGACTGGAAACTTCCAGTTTTTTTTCAGAAAGATATTCTCTTCAGAAATATTTTTTGTATCGTGTTAATTTTTGATGAGTCTGGAAGTTCATTTGCAAATAAATAATTTCTGATCTGATGCATCCTGCGCATTTTTGAATCATGGCTACAATGTATTCTTATTGTGAACAAACTGAGATGTTGCTGGTCCTCGCGGGAACAAGGAACGAGAAACTGAAACAAATAATAATAAGAAACAAGAAACTCTAACGAAAAACTCTGGATATCAAAATTCCACAATGAAATTATGTAATTTTGACAAGCAAATGAGGGATATTACTGATTTGAAGTTCGAAGAATAGATATTCCAGCCAACTAGACATGTTTTCTTGAAAATGCATCAGATCGGGAATTATTTATTCTCAAATGGACCTGGAGACTTATCAGAAATTAGCACTATACAGAAAATATGTCTGGAGGGAATACCTATACAAAAAATATTTCTGAAGGGAATATCTTTCTGTAAAAAATCTTCCAGCCTATAGCCTCTGAAAAGTTATCACCAAATCTGTACGGCAAGATAGTTCTTTGAAACACTTGAAATTAACTGATGACCAAAAACATCTCAAAACGTGACTTACAGTCACAGAACATGACATGCCAAAAATTATAAAAATCTATCTCAGCTTACTCCTTTTATGATCAACTTATTTTTATCCCAGTAGTCAACAGTCAAGCCATGTCCCAACCAGATTATTTTTTTAGAAAATGCATTAGATGACTCAGATCAGAAATTATTCATTTTCAAATGAACCTCGAGACTTATCAAAAATTAACACGATACAAAAAAATATTTCTGATGCTGGGAATATCTTTCTGAACAAAAAAACTGAAAAATTCCAGTCTAACCTCTGAAGAGTTATCACCAAATTTGTGTTGAATCAACTCATTTTTACCCCAGGAGTCCACAGCCGAGCCATATCCCAACCTTTTACAGACACCCTGTATATGTTTTTTATTCGATCTTTTTTGTTACCTAGACGTATTTTTGTCGGAGCACAGAGACGTTCAAAAGACGTCCCAATTTGGTCACAAAACTGACCAATTGACGTTAAAAAACGAGTTAAAAAATGTCGTTTTGGAGACGTCGAAAAGACGTCAAAATGTCACAGTCCTAAGACGTCATATTCAGACGTCAAAATGACGTCATAGAAATGACTTATGAAGGACCATATTGAGAAAAATCAGGGTATATATAGGCATATGCATGTTATTTGGAGTGCAGCACCCAAATATACCCTGAAATGTTGGATTCTGTCCAAAAAGGGCAATTCGTCTCGTGGGTGATGCCTCGCTCACAAACTCACTCACTTCTCTGGAACACCGTAGAAAAGTTGGCGATCTGGCTCTATTTTATAGATATTTTCATGGACGATGCTCTTTTGAAATATCAACAATTGTTCCTCCCTTGGCAGTCCCCGCGAGATTAACCCGTCGAGTTGAGGCTTCGCACCCCTTCGTGGTCACTTTGGAGACCTGCAGAACATCTCTTTCCAAAGACTCGTTCATCCAGTGAACAGCGAGGCTCTGGAACACATTGCCAAAGGAGGTGTTCCCCGAGGCATATAACCTCCAGAAATTCAGGAAGAACACCAATTCCTACCTTATTTTCCTTGGTTCTCACGATGTTCTCTGAACATTACAGGATATCCCTTTTCGTGGGAACCAGAACATAAAAAAATTCAAGTTGTACAGAAAATACGTGATTATAAAAACTCACTAGTAGTTTCTTGCTTGGTCAAGAAACCGTGGCCTTCGACGTCCAGAGTCCGGAAGGCTTCCAGGATTTCTTCGGGGGTTGCTGGGCGGAATTTGTGCTCGAAGATCAGCTGGGAGACGTGCGGCAAAAATTTGGACAAGTGGACCTGTCCCGGGGCGTCGGGGTCCTCCATGGCTGCTGCCATTTTCTGGAGGTCTTCCTCAGCAGGGCAGCAACCCAAGCCTGCACTCATGATAGGATGTTTTTAGATTTTTTTCTTTTTACCTTTACCCGAGCCTATACCTATTTTCGTCTAGTAGAAAATATGAATAATATGTATAATGTGGCATTCGGATTCTCTGAAAATCAGTTTATTGTTGACCACCATGTAAAGAGGCTACTACATCGTCTCTGTAACCTCGAAACATACTTTTCTTCAATGAATTTTGGTAGGGTGATTGCATATCACGAGATTTTCATATTCTTCATTAAGCTTCGAAGACTCAAAAATACACAAAATTCACTTAGAATGATTTCAGCTACAACATATAAAAAATGCAGCCATTTTCACCGAAAGACATTTTCCCGTATAATGTGTACGTGGTCCTTTGAGGTGTCAAATGGAGAATGATGGTCGAATGTAAAATAATGTGCAAGAATAAAAACATTAGACCAATTGCTTTCGAATTAAGTTACAATCTTCCAGCATTTTCAATGATATTCTTCCTTCTTCAACCTTTTTTCCACGTAAATGGTGTAAGACGAAACTAAATATTGTTGTTCTGCAATGTGAATCTTCAGAATGCATTGAAGTCTTACTTCAATGGTGGTAATTTTGCAATTATCATGCGATGGTTTTTTTTTTTCGAAAAAATGTTTTGTTGCCTGCGTATTTTTGTCTGAAAAACACGAATTTGATAATGAAAATGTGAAGAAACCACCACTTTTCGAGATATTTCAAGAAAAAGTTCGACATTTCGCCTTTTTTCCCCTTGTCTTGGATGGATTAATGCTTATGACAATTTTTTATATAGAAAATGCAACAGGAAATATGATTTCTATGGCGAGTTTTTCATATTTAGTGAACAGGCATACCACAGATGACGGTCATTTTATCAATAGTCAATCCAAATACGAGAAGTCAAATGTCAACAGATTGCTCTTGAATAACATTAGAAAATCATATTTTTAGTTGACTCATATAATAGAAAAGAATTCGAGTTCAAGTTCAAGTTTATTCAATCCACAGAGCAGTTGTATGCTATCGGACAAGTCAAGTTCTAAGTAAACAAACAAACAGTTATTAAAAAAATTCGTTCAAACTCTAGGGACAGATGTGTCGTACATTGTGATATATTATATGAATTTTCCAATGATGAAAGGGCAAATTGTTTCAAATGCGATCCAGAAGACAGGAGGCAAAGAAGGTGAAATTTGTAACTTTATAGTGAAATATCTTAATAAATAATGGTTTGTTCACATTTTCATTATCGAATTCCTGTTTTTCAGACAAAAATACGAAAGTACCCAACAAAATTTCTCGAAAAAAAAACCATCGATGATAAATGCAGTTTTACCAAGATTTCGAAAAAAAATCATCGCATGATAAGTGCAAAATTATGTACCTCGGATTATGGTGGAGACGTCTCGGAGGTCTATGCGCTTGTTGGCAGCGTGGTCGAAAATTTCGAAGGCGTCTGCGAGCTTTTGCTCTAGGTCGTTGTTTATTTCGACGGGAATTTCCTCCTCTTCTTCCATTTCGGAATGTTTGAATTCTTATCGTTCTGCTGAGAAATGTTATGACGTCCTCATGACATCTCATGACAGTCCTCAATTCGTTGAAATTCGTTGACATCAAAGGCACTTACTCTTTTCAACTTCAAATTGAGACTAATCATTTTCAAAATGGGAATGAACATCTCCAATTTAGGACGAAATGATTCAGCATGAATTTAACACATTCAAATCGGAATTGAACAAATCCAAATTGAGACAAATCACTTTCAAAATGGGAATAACCAAATTCTAATCAAGACTAGGCACGGAATAAATAAATCCAAATTCGAACTATACAAATTCAATTTGAAACCAATCAATTTCAAATCGGAACTTTTATACAGCGTGTCTCACTTTAAACGGCCCCCCTCTATATCCTAGTTATTAATCATGCGATTTACACCAAATTTGATGTGGTATGAATACCCATCAATATGATCAGTTTTACAGAGATGCACATTATGTTGGACAGTGCCGTGCGTTTTTATTGAACTAAGAAGGGGTCGATTTCTCATAAAATCATATTAGGCATTTTTTTACAGAAAATCTAACCTCATATTATTGTTCCTCATGCTTTCGAACCCTTATATGCAAAAAATCACCTAAATCCGAATTAACAGGATTGGCTTCATTTTTTTCATTTTCAGTCTCGAATAAATAGTGACTTCAAATCAACTACGAATTTTGGAACGTTCAATGGCTCCGGTAGATGGAAAATCATGATTTGGAAGGAAAAACGAGTTATACTTTTTTATGTTGAACTCACCGTTTCCGATTAAGTAGTTATCATGTTCGCAAAAATGCTGTTTAGATGTGCCTGTTTTTCTGAAACCCTTGATAGGCATCTTATGAAAATCCACATAGGTGGGTTTGAAACCATGAAGAACAATATTATGAGGTCAGTTTTCCTAATATGATTTATTAAAAAACTGACCCTTATTTATTTCAATAAAAATGCACGGCACTGTCTAAAATGATATTTGTCTTTGAAGAACTGGTCATATTGATGAATATTCATACCGATACAAATTTGGTAAAGATCGCACGACTGATAGCAGAGATATAGAGGGGGGGCCGTTTGAAATGAGACATATTTCGAAGTTAAAAACGATAGGATGTGCTGACTGCGCGTGTCGAGTTTGTCAGACTGGTATTGCTAGTCGTTGAATGATTGCAGAGATTTCTTAAGAACATTTTTCGTGGAAGTTTATATAAAAAGGGAAAGGTCGCCGACCTTTCTACGGTGAGTGTGGCATCACCCACTAGGCGAATGGCTCTCCTCTGGATGGAATCTAATGGCATCAGAGTATATTTGTGTGCTGAACCTCATATGTGAGAACAGTATTCTAGAACAGGTCGTATCTGTGCATTGTAAATCATGAGAAGCTTTCGAGGTTTGAAGTAGCTTTTCGTATGGAATAAAAATCCGAGTTTTTGTGAAGCAGCTTTCGCAGTATTATTAAATATGCAACACACAAAAATGCAGGTAGATAAAATTTTAAAAATAAAAAGGATGAGAGGTTTAACCATGATTATCAAAAATATTTTTCAACCCACCAATATTATGTACTGCAGAAATATTTGATCGAAAGGAAAATAATAGTGCATGAGAAAAAACAACGAAACCACGATAAAACTATACTATTTCCGACACAAAGTAGAAAGCATTCAAAGCCCCGGTTTTGCCTAAACATGGCGAGTTTCTATAGACCAATAGAAAAGATGGCATCATTATTATCATGACTGTTAAAAATATTCTCTAATCTACCAATATTATGTTCTGCAGAAATATTTGATCGTATGGAAAATAATAGGTACTGCATGAGAAAAAACAACGGAACTACAAAAAAACACAACTTTATTTTTAACACAATGTTCAAATCATTCAAATTTGCCTCGGATTTCGCCTAAACATGGCGGATTTTTATCGACCAATAGAAAAGGTGACATAATATCATTGTCGTCACTGTGTTTAATGCGGTCACTGTAGGCACAGTATATTATCCTGATAACACCTTATGTCCCATGGACATCCTTGGGACGACCTGTCGAGACATTCAGGACGTCCATAGGACATTCGAATTTGGTACCGTGGACGTCCATCGGACGTCTGTGGGACGCACATCTAGATGTCCCACTTGAAGACCAACTAGGGACGTCCTCGAGGGATGTCCCTGGGACGACTATCGAATACCTAAATCCTACAGTATCCCTCATCAAGCACTACAAAGGACATCCTTAGGACATCCATAGGACAACCTATCAGCAACGCTGAGGGATATCAATTGGATGTCCATAGGATGTCCCAGGGACGTACGAATTATTCTTGAATTTGAATTTTTTCTGGTCTCTCTAGGACCAGATCTTGCATAACTGATTAGGACATCCAGTTGAGTTGATGGTCCGTAAAAGGTCCCCAAAAAGTTTCCCAAGGATGTCCAATGGACTTACGTGAAGGACATTGACGAGGAGTACTTATAGCCTACGAGCAATCATTCGTCGGCGAGGTGTAAGTTAACATCCTCGCAGGGACAACATATTGAAAGTACTGACTGGGACGTCCACAGGACGTTATTTCTAGGACATTGAAAGAGTACAGTTCGTGTACTAATTGGGACATCCGACGGATATCCCTAAGGGACGTTCGAAGGATGTTCCTAAGGGACATTTCGATTCTTATCGATTCTTATACGATCCTGGAAATATTATGGGCGTCTGTGCAAAGATATTTGAATGAATTTACCATCAGGAACATTTCATGGTTGTCTAGAAGGGACGTTATATAAGATCTGAAGTCATGCCAGAATATGTACTACTCGGGACATCCGATGGATGTCCCTAAAGGAACGTTTAAAATCATATCCCATCAGGGACATGCCAAGGACGTCCTTGCATGGACATTCTACAATATGTATACCACGTGGACGTCTGAGGGATGCTATTTCTAGGAAATTTGAAATGATGTACCAGCTGGGACATCCCGTGGACGTCCTTGCTCGGACATTGCATGAGATGTACGGAATGGGACGTCCCAAGGACACTTATTTTTGGTTCGGCACATTCGGACGTGAATTGTACCAAATAGGGACGAGAAAGGATAATGTACTGTGCTGTAGGTGAGCCTAATGATGGTAGTTTGTGAAGAAGTCCTCAGTGTCATATACGGTCGAATGCTTATTTCGATATTATGTCCAACGTCATAGCTAGAGATTCCCCATGTTATTCTAATGAAGCTTGCCATATATGGGTGACGTAGGCAAGTAGATCTCCAGTTGATCTTCGGTGACGAAACAGAGAACAAATTTATGGTGTTCTCTACAATGTATGGATGAAACTCATACGAACAAAATTCAATGTGAATACTGGGTGTTGCAAAATTGCTTCCGTATAGCAAACCTAAACCACTCTGTGTATTCTTTCATATGTTCAGTCAATGTGGGAATGCATTAGCCAATAGATAAAAGATGAGTCGTTATACCTTCTATAAATGCATTTAAATGCACTGGCGGATATCCGTTCATGCGATCTACTCATTAGTGATCTAATTCCATCGCCTACTATATGATCGATTACTGAAAAAGACGCTTCATAGGATTTCCTTTGTGTTTCCCCTACTTATAACTAGCCAGGTTACCGATGGAACGTGATAAGTCAATATGTGATCACTATCCAATATTTTGTCTCACTGAATAGGTCATTTTCCACTGTTGGGACACATTTTCTTTGTTTCGTTTCTTCCTTCATTATTCCAGATTTTTTTTGGGGATTTTCTCTCCTCGTCTCAATAAAATATAAATATGAATACTATTTCAATATACGTGTAGTTAGGAAAAATCAGATGATTTGCCCCAAAATGAGCCTAAAAGAAAAATTCACTAGCTTGTCATTGATAATTTGTATTGAAAAAGGTTTGGAGAAGAGAAATGAAGGTAAAATGGACCTCGGTCGATGGCCTTTTGAGTATTTATACTCAATAAAGTTCATTTTGTTGTTGTGTACAAAACATATCAAATTTTTACTTATCTTTGGACGTTTCGGGAACGAATCTGCTCCCGTTTTCAACATAAAAAATGAATTTTTTAGTATGGCAAATTCGTATTTGTCATGACACTTTTCAGTTCTCATAGTGACAATTGGTGACGTTGGCAATCAAATGAGTTACAGGATGTTTTCATTAATTAATCTTGAATTTACCATTTTCATTCTCAGATTTCAGTAGTGAATACCATGTTCTATCTATATCAACTGAACTGGAAGCAATGCTATTGTCTCCGTTCAGAAGAATGCAAGCAGATTCCTTGATTTTTCTCTTCTGGTTGTTATCTCCTTTTCCAATGATTTTAATATTATTCCATCTTCAGTAAGGATATGTTCAACTAGTTTCGATTTGTCGATGTGTCTTTTCTTTATATTGTAAGGACGAAGGAACATCAGTACCTGGTTTTCTTCCAATAATCTTCGTCTCAATCCAACTAAAACTAACTTGGTGAGATTTCATACATGGCAAAAAAGTTCAGGACCTATAAATCTGGTCGGTGATGATGCAAATCTTGAACAAAAGAAAACTGTCACATTTTTAGGTGTCTATGGATGAATGTCTCAACTGAAGATCTCAATGCTCGAATCTTTTCTCAAAATTATCTTCTCTCACATTTCTATTGAGAAATATAAGATTCTTATTGAATAAACAACAACTTTGCTCAAGTAGACTATCGACTGAGATATGCAGTTTGTTTGAGGGGAAATTCAGTAGCAGTGATATTGGTAGCACAAAAGAGGATATTACGATGTATGTTTATGCCCAGGAGAACTTCTTGTAGACCGATTTTCAAGGAATGCAAAATTATAACTGTCTCTGGTATTTATATATTTGAAACGTGTATGTTTGTTTTTAGGAATAAGGAGAAGCTTAATTAAAATAGTGACCTCCATAGTTATCATACTAGGCAGAAAAATAATTATTATGTATGTACCCTTTGCAAAACTCGAAATCAGAGAGAATGCACCAAACTTTATAGCACTAAAGCTTTTCAATAGACTACCCAATAATTTGGAGAATATCATG